TACCTTCATTTTAGTATATTAAAATTACTTCAATTGTATATTTAGATATCAGTAGATTTTTTTTATTTGCTTTATGCCTGTAATCAATGGCCTCAATCAAACAATAAGAATAATATTTTATTATAATGTCAGTTTTATTAAAAATGTATCTTTCATTGTGTTTAAATGTTCAGCTACGTTTAAAAAGTCATTTTCAGTGTAAATCTTTTGTTTAGATTTTCCTCTAGCTTCCATAATTAGATAAAGAGCAGTTAAAAGAGACAGATGTTTGTTCTTGAGTAAAATGTTTGTTTCCTTTGTACTTCTCCTTCCCAAGATAAAGACCTTAATATCATCCATTTAGCCATATTAATAATTTTTATACATGACTGGGAGTATGGAAATCCACTCGATAGCAGGTGACACACAGGTTGACAAGGTACTTGTCAATCTCGAGCAAACTGAATGTGATCGAGCACATAGCTGAAATGATGAATAACACGCTTTTCCCAGCTCACCACTGCAACCGTGACAGAATGATGTGCAAATTAAATTAATATATCTATATGTAGTCGAGCTAGTTGTGGGGACATCGAACGATTACATGGTTTTGTGACTTAAATACTTGAGAGGCTAGAAGGTCAGAAATTCATATAAGAGAAGAGTTTTAAAATGGTGTCTATTGAGGTTGAAGACTTGTAATTTTGAGGAAAGAATAACTGACTCTTCATCCATGACTACTTATTTAATATATCCTCACAACAAACCTGGAGTGCACCCCAGGAAGGACAGAGCCCAGCACTCTCATTGGACTAACCAAAACAGTCATCACCAATCAGTCAATCAGCAACACATGTCGATGGCGACACCTTCTACCGTCAATAGAGTGAACCTCCCCCTCCCAAGTATGGCAAAGCACACTGGACACTTATACAAGATGCTCACAATGTAATAAAGGTTGGAGACCACTAACCTGGAAGAACATGTCAACTCCACATGGAATGCTAGGGACCGCAATCAAACCCTGAAACTCTGCGGCTTCAATGCCATCACCCCCCCCCCCCCCAGATCATCTGCCAGCACATCCAGGTCTCCCTTGTGACCCCCCTCCCTTCTAAAGTGTCCATCAAACACTCATCTGCAGCAAGATCTGAGACAATGCGGTTATGTCTCTGAGGTGAATGTGACAATTGTATGAAGCAGTCATTGGTTTGGTAACTGATTAGCTGTGTATTGTTCTTATTGTCTTCAAGACAATAAGATGCCATATTTATCAACAGAAAGTCTAATCAGCATTATTGTTAATTATACAATGCAAATTCTATAAAACCCACAAGCTTGCACAACGTACAGTCATCGATCCTTGTCTCCTGACAAGTTGCATAGTCATCACCGCTGAATCTGTCATAGCTGTCAGATCCTCTACATAAACGCTGTGTGGTGAATAAGCTGCAGCCGGTACCCTGGTCTTTGAAAGTCTTCTTAGCCGACTTTGAGTCCAAACTCATTATGGGGGGATATCATGCCCTCATTTTCTGACGGCGACACATTGTAAACTGAATTTTCTGAGGAAGTGATCCTTAGCTAGGGTGAGCCACTCACGTGTGTAACCTCTCCCATGGTGTTACACAGCTTAACTAACACAGAATATCAGGGTGGAATTTTTAAAGTAAAATAAACCCCTCCCTTCGACCATAACTCATTCTTCCCATGTTGTTTATTAAAAGAGCAACATTCAATAATTGCAGATTTACGTATGAAAAGAACCTTAGTAAATTCTGTTTGGACCCAGAGATAATGTTCTGTATTTCCCCTTTAATTCTACAATATATACCTACTAGTATTGATGCAATTTATGGTTTTTAATGGGAATAATCTGTGGTTTTAGATGCTTTTAAAATCACTAAAGGTTCTTTAGACAGTGTTTGCCAAATCTGGCCTAAGACATGGGCAAAAGGAGAATGTTTATGGGGAAATGGGCAAAAGGAGAATATTTTACTGTCCCCCAGATTTACATCATGAGGGATGAGGAAACATACATTTAATGAGGAACATACATTAATGAGTTCATTTAAATTAATGAGAAAACATACATTTCACCATTGAACAGATTTGTATATCAACATTCTGTCACTCATATCTAATTAATTACAGAATGTGTCTTGAACGACTTTGATTGTTGATGTTCCAGTTGCTAATGGTTTAGAACAAACAGCTCTCTTATTTACGGTAAATCACATTACATCAATGTAAATGTATTCCAAAGAAAAACATACGATGGTACCCAATGGAAGTATGGAGAATTTTGCCTAATTGTTCTTGAGGGCTGTTTTTGCGTTCTGTAGATCCTTCTGGATTAATGTTTTTTTTTAATTAATATTTAAAGATTTTTTCTTGTTTTTTGTGTAAAAAGACAGCAGTACAAAAGCACCTATTTGCACTGGGATCAGCCCCAGATGTACCTGGTAGACTGTAGCCAATGAGAGATAATGCAGGCATTTGGGAACGCTGGTGTCGAGATCAGAGGTCACTGTTTATAAATGGACCTCAAGGCTGTGCATCGTGGACCATTCCCCTCGAGAACGACAGTGGGTTGGGGGTGGGAGTCAAAAGGCGATTCCAGGCACTGATGTCTGACTGACAAGTGCCTCCACTCTGTTGCCAAGCCACGGAGCACCGTGGTCCCTCAGAGGGGGCTGAGGAGAGCCCTTGATGCCTCTTCCCTGCCTCTGATGATCCACACTGTCGAAGAGCAAGAGAGGGAAAGAAAGGGCGGCAGAAGGGGGGAGAGAAGGAGAGAGAGAGAGGCACCCTTTGAAGCAAGCGTTCTTTCCCTGAAACATCTGCATCCTGGACCTTCAAAGGCACACAGCCCCCTTCACCTGTCCAGTCAGAACAATTTATAGGATTTCTTTCTTCTCCCACCATCAGATCTTTCAACGGGAGCCTTTGGAGATGCCGGCGTTTCCTCTGCTCTGAATGTGATGAGCAGCCTGTACCGCATTTAAAGGCATTACTCTTTTCGGAAATGTTCTACCGCCACCGGGACTTTCCAGGGAACAGCGGAACTTCGGAATTCAGTGCTGAACTCGAACCCATAATGCAATGGGGACTGAAGGGCACCAGAGTAAGCGGCAGATTGCCACAGAAAGTGGCTTATTTTACCTTTGACCCTATCCCAGCTAATGAACCTCAATAGAGGTGCGTTTACACAAAGTACTGAAAACATTTGTTCTTCCATTTTCAGTGTATTCAATTCATTTAAACTAACTTCAAATATAACCCTTTAAACTCGATAAACCTCCCCAAAAGAAAATTATCTCTTGCTGTTATTTTGTTGACAGTTGCTACCATATTTAAACATTTCTTTTGTGCTGTACATTAAAAAAATGTGTTTCCCACACATTATTCATCTATATTCATCTGGTGAATGATAATGTCACAATTAGTGATCTAACAAAAGACCAATTTTATTTGTACACACTGCACTTGTTTAGACAATAGAAAATATACTCCTTTTTAAATAGTGGCAGAGAGTGTTTCTGCCATTTTTTTGTATATAGTTTAACTCAAATATACTCAAATGACTTTTGTGTGCTGCAAACAGTAAATGTTCTTTTTCCTTTCATCAGTTTGAAAACCTGGTGAAACCAAGAAGAAAGGAGACAAAGACAGTCCTACACACTCTATAGATGGGAGACGGGTGTGATTATTATGTGGGCATGTTGGCAGCTGTAGTTCAACTTTATAAAATCTTGGGGCTTGTGTAACTGACAGTCACTTACAAGCACGTCACAATGTTAAGGGATGCCATTAAACATCAAGATGCTGCTCCAGCTCCTGCAAACTAACTGAATAAAATGCTACCAGGGATTTCACAATAAGAGCTTCAGTTCAGCTTTTCCTTGTAGCCAATAGTTGCAAATTTGTTTGCAGCAGCACTGCTTATGATTGATGGTGAGCAGCAGGATTTAATTGGATATTCGATTAAAAATCATTGTGCACCTATAATTGTACAAATGTAATTGTTGTGTCAATTTCTGTTTATGTTTTTTTAAAAAAAGGAAATTACAGTGAAATGTAATAATTTCCTGTTTTTAATAATGTTTATTGTGTCAGAATTTTTCACTAATCAGTGTCTCTTTTAGTCATAAAAACGAGCATCTGTGTGTTTAACTCTCGCATCTGTATTGTGACCACATGTTCTTCGCTAAGACACAACTCATATTTTTGTAAAGCCAAAGACTTGTGGGAATGTTTTGTAAGTTATACTTTAGAAAAAGCATGGAGTGGTTGAGTATAAATATCAGTGTATTGAAATGTTTTTTTTTTTGTTGTTGAACAACGGACGATAGGGATCACATGCCTTTGGCAACTAAGGCAGAAAAACACTGATTAACTGCAGAGCAACTCTGTGAAAAGCTCCACAAACTGAATGCCTGATGAGGAAAGTGTGACTTCTTAAAATCACAAGCCAGTTCTCTGCTCAACGGATGCAAAACATGCCTTATTGAGTTCTGTTGCGCATCACCTGGTGAGAAATACAATGAAAGTATTAACATTTCAGAATGGAATTCCATTTTAAGCTTAGAAAGTTGCTATGCCCATGTCTTGACAGTAGAGGGTGACAACTCATAGCGTTTGTCACGTTTGTGTTTAACACCTAGATGATTGTACACCAGTAACAGGCCGTGGGTTCTTCTGAGTGTACTCAGATGGTAGAACAACAAACTGAACTCAGATAAGACTTTGAAGCAGAGTTGGTGCTTTATTACTGCAGTCACTTAGGTGTGGTTTCCAGGAAATATTTGTTTGTTTGTAAATAACCAACAGTGGGATTTTCCCCTTATAACTTATTTGAACCTAGACTTATAACATCTCAGCTATATTATTATTATTATTATTATTATTATTATTATTCATTTCATTTGATTTGCCAAATGGTGCTGATATTCCCATGAGAAATGGAAAGACCACGTAAGTTTTCTTTCTTTTTTGAATCAGACAACATGAATCAAGGCTTCAAGTACAACTTCATTTTTTTTTTATTAAAATCATACAAATTCTCTTGTCTGTTATAAAAGAGCTAAGTGGTTCTGCTGGTAAATGTTTGTGTAATGCGTTCCTGCTACAGTCACTTCTGCCCGGACTAACACTAAAAGTCACGGGGTCCCAACTATAAAAGTCATTGCCCCCCCCCCTTCCCAATACTTCTTTAGGTCTCTGCCATACCTAAAGACAGCAGAACTTATTTACACATTTAAAAAACAGAGACAAGAAATGCAATAAGTTTAAATCAGAACTTTTGAAAAAAAAAAAAAAACACTAAAAAAGCAAGTATTTTTACATATTTAACCACAATAATTTACCAACAGAGTGACAATCCATTTGCTTTTTTTACACAGTTACTGTTGTCTACGATTTTTGAAATTTTGCACCATTTTAACACTTTATAGGTTTGGCAGTGTTTATCCTCTCAGACATCGTACACAGCAATAAGGCACAATACCTTATAACTATCTCTATCTCACTCCTTTCCTCAGGGAACACTTTTTCAAATAACACACAGAATTCTAAGTACAATTAAAGCAAAAAAAATCAGTACCTAATATTTTTGATTAAAAGAAAGCTTCAAAAATAATACAATAGTAGTACAAGTATGATTTTTAACAGAATTTCATGCCAGTACTTGGCTTAGCCCCCTTACAACTACATCCAAATAGATTTTGAAGACTCAGTACTCAAGTTGGGTATTTTGTGTTCACTCACAGTAACGCAAAGGAGGTATTCGTAAGAAACACAATTTGGATGATTTCTAACTAACGTCATACAATTTTACAGCGATCAGCACTCCTCTACAAGTCAAGAACTGAAAATATTACAGAAGATTAACTGTGGAATCAACAAAAATCTCAACGTGTAGACATGTCATTGCATTTTCCGTCGTTGAAATGCTGCTTAACATACATAATAAATGTATGAATATATATATTTTTTGCTTCCTGTTTCCTTAAGGGAAATCCCATTTAAACATATTGCAGAATTGCAATATATTAAGAGTGATCTGTACATGACTCTTCAAATTTTTTAGCTGTTTTTTTTTTTGTAAAATCAACGATAATTAGGTGAACACACATGAATAGTCTTTTAAGAAAGCATTTCAGCGCTTCCAGATGGTTAGAACCAGAATTATAAGACAAGAAAGAAAATATAATGTAAAAGTGTAGTTATATATATGATTTTCCCCAAGAATGTAGAAAAGCATTATATACATGTAGATAGCTATACAGACTGTTGAAGTCTTTAAAGCATGCATCAATGTATGATGTTGTGACGCGTTTGCAAAACTGGTGAGTGTATAATGGTCCTGTGTTTCTTGGACTTCATACCCAAACTGAACATTTAGAAGATGGCATCACTTGGAAGACGCGATAAAATCACACTGACCGTTCCAAAACAGGAAGCACGGAAAACAATAACGCCAATAAAGAATATACAGTATAGTGCAGATCATTCTCTGGGGTCCCAGTCGAATGTAAGCAAACCCGTTTTTTTTTAACCTGTTTACCCGAAGTTTTCTGGACAGATATACATGGAGTTTTCACCCTTGGTCGATTGTGCCCTTGGCAGGTGCACTGCACGTGGATTACATGTTTATATTTGAGTTTGATTAGCACATGCATTTACACCAACAGTTTACAAGAAAAGAAAAACACAGAATACTGAATGAAACGGATGGGTAGAAGACCTAAGCCCCTCCCCAACGTCATTATGATGAAACTATACAAAAGAAGGGCTTCAAAAATAGCCTTCATTCCAGAAAAGGAATATATAAGTGTAACACATCCCTGTCTCTCAGGGATGAGATGAGTAAAAAATAAAATGTGTTTCAGTCTCATTTCCTAGGTTTATATGTCAAAAGTTCTTTTTTGTTTCTCTTGTCCATTTGCCCACAGGACAGAACGGCTATTGCATGACGGCCAGGAATTTACTCTCCTCCGCGAGTGTGGTTAGGAGGGAGCTCATGTCCCCGATAGCCATATTGTTGTGGCCGGTGGGCAAGCCGTGGAATGCCATGGAAGCATGCGGCGTCGTGAGCCTAGATGAGTTCCGAGAGAGGTTTTGCAAGACTCCGGAGCCGATGAACCCGGAAACCAGGCTGTCCTGGTCGTACCCATCATCCAGGATGGCTTCAAAGTCCAGCAGCATGTTGTCCAGGATATCAGATCCACTACCCACTGTGCTGGTCACCTGATCCTCCCCCGGGGAGAGCAGAGCTGGGCCACCTGTGGATGCCGGCTCACCAGCCATCGTCTCCAGAAGACAGTGGTCCTCAGGGATGGGGAAGGGTGGCACCTTGAGTTCTGCCGGGTCGAAGCACAGTCGATTATCCTCAAGGCCTTGCTCCAGGAAGCTGGACTGCTGCTGCACCTTTGAGCAGGAGTTTGCCTCAAGGTTTTCTGGAGCCTCCAGCTTCAACTGCGACACCTGGGTGGAGAGCGAGCCGTTTGCGCCACTCCCATTCACCATGCACTGTTGCTGGCCAAGGGCGGTACTGCTGTCACTCAACGTGCTGCTGTAGTGCTGCAGTTGTGGCAGTTGTCTGGTCGAGCCTGCATCCGCATTTAGTGGCTTATGGGCAAGGTGGATCTGGGAGGGGAGATTGATCCCAGTTGCTTGGAAGAGGCCATCTTGCCGACTTGCAGGATGTTTCTCCTGCAAGGCAGCTTGTGCTTTGATGTACGGTTGCAGACCTTGACAGACCTGCTGTGTGGCTCCCAAAAGGCTGTGGGAAACCTTGGTCTGGATGTAGCCATATGGTAGGCCATTCTTGAGCATCTCTGGGTAGGACATAGAAGATATATCCACCTTGCTCATGCTCACTCTGCACGCTTGCCCCTGACCTGCCTTCGTAGCTCTTCTAAGAGGTACACCCATGTCAATGCTGCTTGTATCCTGGAAGTCGGTTTGCTGCAGAGGATAAGCATCTTGATGGTCGCCGGAGCCACCTAATGGCTGCTGTTGCTGCTGTTGGACCATCATGTTACCGAACACCCTGAACTGATGATCGCTGGCAGGCTGCTCTGATGGCGGCCAGCGGGCGCACCTCTGCTGCAACTTCGCTGGGGACCTGTCTGCACTCCCTGAGCTGACCTCGTTCCACTGGATGGGCATCCCATCACTGCCATCTACTGTCTCCCTCTGTCTTGGGCTTGGGTAAGTCGAACCCTGCGATGGGCCAGAAACTTTTGGGAGACCAGGAAACTGAGGGTACAGGGAGTAGTCACTGAAGCCACCTTCCTGGCTGTCAAACACTCCCACCCGCTCCTGTGAGCTGAGATACTGCACCAGGTCATCTGGGAACACGTCCTCATCGCTCAGGTGGAGGCCCCGGACGTCCTCTTCCATGGCTAGGGCCTCCAGCGCCTGGTTCTCACTGATGCTGGGTGGGCACGGAGACGGGAGGCCATGTCGCGGATTTCCATCCGAGCCAGTGTAGCTTGGCAGGCCAGCATTCCGAGCTCCCGTCCCTGGGAACTGGGGGCTGCCGAGGTTGGGCAGGGGACGTACATTGTTGAGGCTATTGAAGCGCTGGACCCGGGGCAGGCTCAAGGGCTCCAAGGACTGAGTCCGCACAGGGTCGCTGGCCCTCCGCTCTCCATTTCCTGGGATCTCCTGGGGGAAGTAGCTCCTGCGGCCATATCCCGCGCACCCCCCGCCGTAGCCGTTGGTGGCACCATCGCTGCGCCGGCACGGTGACACCAGCGGGGGCAGTGTGTGGTGGCCCCCTTCCGGAAAGTCACCTATCATAGCCACGCGGGTCTTCAGGCTCATCCTCTCCATGCTGGGCAGAGGGGTGGGGGGCGGCCCGCCTGTAGCAGCTGCATACCTCGCCTTCAGGCGGTAGTGCTGGGCGGGGGTGAGGCTGAGAAGCCCCCCCAGACCCCCCCCAGGGCTAGTGCCGCTCCACAACCCACCACTTCCCCCGCCTCCACACTGACTGGCCTCGCTGGAGCGTCGTGATGCGTCAGTGGAGATGGGATCATAGGAGTCAGTGGCGCTGAGGTTGTGGCGTCGCCGACGGAGGCCCGTCTCGCCCTGCGAGGTCTGGCTGGAGCGGCGGCTAGAGAAACACGGCGACGCACCGGAGGAGCGGCGGCTGGAGCTCAGGTAGGCGGAGCTGGTGGCACTGCCCCCGCTGTCACGCCGGTCCTTCAGCAGGCTCAGCATGGTCAGCTCACCGTCGGGTAGCTCTGGGCGCAGGGGCGCCCCCCCATTGCGGCCGAGATATGAGCCTGAAACACAATAGGTGAGAGGGTCTCTGAATCTACAGCGCAGCAACCCTGAGGCCTTGACCAGGCCAACTGAAGAGCATATTTCCAAAAGTTTTCATTTTTTGTTTTTGAGATGAGACCGCCAATGATGCTGTAGAAATTTGTTCTTCAATTAGTATAATTAAAATTAAGCCTAAAATTAAATGGTGAGCATACTTGCTCTGGCTACTCCATGACATTCAAGATGGGGGGCATTCCACGGAGCATCATGTTTCCCATTAGCCAGATAACTTAAGACAAATGTAAGGATCGTCCAATAGGAATATTGCGTACCTCTCCTAGTATTGGACAGATTCCATGTTTGATTTAAGTTATCCAGCTAACTGGGAAATGCAGCTTTGCGGAACATGCCCCAGGTCTGCACCTACCTTGGATACTTTCATATCCAGACTGAAAACCCACCTCTTCTCCTCCTCGATTTTAAATCTGACTGATGGTGCAATCAATCTATTTATTGTCGATGCTAATAGTATATGTTTTGATGTCTAGCATGTTTCTTGTGTTTTACAATTTTTCATCCGTGTAGTACATTGATAAACTCGGCTAATTGAGACGAATTTTGGGAAGATATTCGTGGACATCGCTCGCCATCCGACTTGCCTTATGGTTAGCGCGCCTGTGGCGATCTTACCGTTGCCTATGATGGGAGGGAGCGCGGGGCCTGTGGGCGGCGGCGAGGGGGAGTGCGGGACGACGCGGGGCAGGGCGCCATTGACCTGCTTGAGCCTCTCCATTTTAACGCGCTCCATCCAGCGCAGCGGACGGCCAGCGGCACGGCAGGACCGCAACGCCACTGCAGGGGAGCCACCGGCGGACACAGTGGAGTCCACCATGGGGGCCCCGTCATCCTCCTCCAGCTCCTCCTCCTCGTCATCCTCGTCCTCCCCGGCCCCGCCTCCTCCGTCCTCATGGACGGCGGCGCCACCCCGGCTCACAGCAAGCTGGACGGGACCGCGGGAATGGGCGCGGAGGGGGGGCTGGTCACCGCCGCATGTAGACTGACCGCCAGGGCTTGACTGAGACGCCTGTGGGGGGGGCAGGGTTGGGAAGGAAATCAATACCAGGATACCAGCCACATCCCCTCAGCATCTTACCCACCCCCTCCCAAAGGACAGCTTCACAGCACAAGAAGGATGATGGGTCAGGCATGAAGGCATGGATATGGCAAAGAAACAGGTGATATTTTTCTTACAGTATTACAAGAGTGATTTTTTTTCACAAATAAGACAGAAAATGTGCCCTGTATTTAAATGACAATAAATTTTAGTAGCGAGTTATTATGAAGCCACTTGTTTCATAATTTAATTTCGAACATAGAGAAGGTACTACCTCCCATGTCTCAATGGACCAGCCAGTTGTGGATGCCAGTGATATTTTACAAAAGCCAAAGTGTTTGATGGGTTCAGAAAGGGTCAGAAACTTCGAGTTCAAAGGTCCAGATAACCAAAAACGGCATTCAGCAACAGAAAAGTTATTAAATCCTCCAAATGTTATGGAACAGAGGTCCGGGAGTTCAGAAAATCCAGATTGATTCAGAAATAATGTCTGAAACGGAGGCTGGTTTGCAATTCGACCCCGTTTAGGCGACAAACATCCCAAGGCCCGAGAAACATGGCAGCCACAATGAGATCAATCTGGATTAGGCCAAACTCTACAGCCCTCATCACAGAGAGCAGGCAAAGCCATTTGTGCTGTCATCAAAGGAGACGAGGGCCAAACAATGACTTCTTTTCAGGCCAGATGCCATCTAATTGGGTTTTTTACTAAATTAAGATCAGCACCGATGAATAGGGAGCCCTGTTCTGCTGCCCTAAACACTGCTCTCCTTTACAATGCACTGAACAAACCTTTGTCCGTCATCCGTTATTCCACGGCGTGCCGCCCCAACGGCACCCCACTCAGTTCTACTTTGAAATGGGGAGGGGGAGGGCTCTGAGGGGGGTTCAGGACCACCAATAAGCCAAAATGGACCAGCCATAAGAAAGGTTTTGCTATGACAGCATCTCGTGACATGCAGGGGGCCTCTTCAAGAGTCATTTGTCACATTGAAGGCTAGACTCGGTACCTTGGGATCAGATGATTTCCTGCCCATGAACCTGTCATGTAATGAACATGGCTGACCACCCCTTCCCCCCAGTACCCATGACCATGATTCAGAACGGGCTTTGCTGAGATGCTTTGGGGTACCGGCAGTGAAGTTCTGAAACCAAGAGAGAGATGTGGTGGATGGGAACATGGATGGATGAGAAGTATTGGGGAAAAGAGAGACACCCTCCTCACCTGATTACCCACTGTCCTTAGGAAATGAGACCGAGTAATGCACGAGGCATTGGGCAGAAGAAACATTCAGTTATTAAGAAGGTTCGAGGCTGAGCAGTCATGTGACATTTGGAGTCAGCAACGATGCCACCTACAGACAGGTGGCCATCGGGGGTGGGGGTGGTATCGGTCAGGGGGGGGGCGTAAAATCTAAACTAAATAAACAGTCTAAAAAATACAGTTAACTTGTAGATCTCAAATCACAACACTTCATGAGTAACCAGCATCGTTTGTCTCACCTAAAGATAATGTTTTTTTTTTTTTTAAGACATGGGCATTAATTCGGGATATTACTAATAAAGTCTCGGTTGGCATTGAATTAGTCATATATTTTTCTATCATTGTTCACCACTGGATTCTTGATGATGCTGTATAAGTTAATGATGCTCCCCCCGGTTCCATGACCCATGCTCAGGGTCATGCTGAAACCAGACGTCGCACCTCAGCTAAACATACAAGCCGATGTATAATAAGAACTGTGTCCTAACTGAAAGGGGTTATGGATTCATTATCACCGGGGCACGAGTGCACATACCATGGGCTTCTCGGTTTTTATGGACTTGACCTGAAGGCACTCATCCTGCTTGAGGGAACGCCCGTACTCCCGCTGCTCCGGGTAGCCCCCAGGGCCTGGCGGCTGGGGCTCCCTGGGCTGGGCTGGGGGCCGGGGATGCGTGTCGCCACGCTGCTTCTTAGTGACGTGAGCCTCAGGCCCATGCACGGTCTTCACATGCTTGCGTAGCGAGCTGGGGTCCGTGTAGCGCTTGGTGCAGCCCGGGATCTTGCAGACATATGGTTTCTACAGGGGGAAAGGAAGGTGGGGGGGATGTTTAACAACAACCACTAGCATGGTTTTGGACTGATTGAGAAAACCCATGCAACTCACAGAGAGAGTATTCAAATTGCACAATAAGGGAGGCAGGTATTATAACCAGCACTCTGGAACTGTGAGGCTAGTGCTTGTCTGTATGTATCACTTAGCATGTGCTGAATATGTTTGACATAAAGGGAACAGGCGCTTTGACAAGCATCTAGATAGGCCTTCAACATGTATCATCTGTCTACACTCAGCAAAACCGGGCAGGGAGTCTACTGACCTCGTTAGAGTGCGTGCGGTTCTGGTGCTTGGCCCGGTCTGAGGCGTTGGAGAAGGCCTTGTTGCAGCCTTCGTGCTCACAGACGTACGGCTTCTCGCCCGTGTGCGAGCGCAAGTGGGTCTTCAGGTTCTCCAGCCGTGAATAGGCCTTGGTGCAGCCTTCGAACTGCAGGAAAGATGGGTGGAAGATGGCGGGTAAGTGGGCTCCCCCCCACACAGAGAACAGCACACAGGGGCAGCGTCTATCATCACCCAAAACATGCACTTCTTGGCCACAAACAGTCCCTACACTACAAATTCCGCATTCCTTACTCAGGAGATGCTAAAGCACATTTTACTAACCAGTTAGCTAGCTACAATCTTCTGACTCTACTCACTAGCTGTTTATTTAGTTTTTGAAATATCTGAGGGCGGGGGGGAGGGACTTTTTGACTGGAGCCCCAGAAACAACAAACCCACCCCTGATGGAACATTCGTGCAATTTCTACAAAGCTGCCAACCTGAAGACGCAAAACTCGTGCAGCTGAGAACCTAAATTAAATGTCAGCTTCTCTGGTTTGGTTTACACTCATGCTGACGAATGACACTGCAGGCTATGGAAATCGCTCAGCATGACAGGCAGCAAGGAAAGCTTCAAAATCAATATGTCTTCTCATCGATTTTCATGGTGTTGTATCTACAAGAAAGGACGAGCATGATTCGGGCCCATTTCTACATAGGTATCCATCTTTAGAGGATGGACACACATCCCACTTCAGGCTGGAAGGAGCTTTTGTTTTGCTTTCAGGGGCGAGACCAAAGGGGCACTGGTCCCAGCTGAAAGCTGATTGGCCCCCGCAGTGCTCTTTCCCTTGTCATTCACTAATTCACAAATATCATTGGCTAATGACAACGTTGGGCCCTCTGTATGAATTATGGCCACTCTTTGCTTTGCAGGCCTGATCAGCCTGAATCTGATCTAGGATCAGGCGGTGGACGCTCTCTCACCGTGCACTTGTGTGGCTTCTCGCCCGTGTGCCTCCGCATGTGCACCACCAGCATGTACTGGGCCTTGAAGGGCTTCTGTTCCCGCGAACACTCCTCCCAGCGGCACACAAACTCCTTCTTCTCCCCGTGGATGTGGTCGTTGTTGATGTGCTGCAAGAGGAGAGGGGCAGCTCATGTCAGTTACCGAAACTAGCTTCAGATGGACCTCAAAACATTTTGGCAACTCTGAAAGGAAATGTGGCCCCTCTGGATCAATGGGTACTGAGCGGGCCTGTTAGATTTCAGCAGAATGGTGGGTCATGTGACCAAAGTCAACTCAAATTAACAATACAAAAAATGATTGATAATATATTTGACAGAGTGTTAAAGAGATGACAAATCATACTAGCTGTAGAGGGATAATGATGGGAAAGTTAGGTGACCCAGCCCCTGTAATCCCAATAAAATGAGGGCCCATCATAACATTTTGTTATTCTGAACCCTGAAGCCATGCCACATTGTTTCTGTTTGTTGTGATCAAAGGAATCCCTTGGGCGTATTTTACATCCCGATAAACCATATATTTTGTTAATTGGTGTAATTACATAAAGTGACCACAAGAGGGCCTTCAGAGACGCCGAAGGAAAACTACTGGGGAAAAAAAAAACGCACGATGGGTCTGAAGGTCCGCACATGTAATAAGGCAAGAAATCTCAGTCTGAGAAATCTGACGGGTCTCATGACCCTGAGCAGGATCAGTGGTTAGAAGATGGATGGAGGAATGGATGGATGGAGGTCTGAGAGACCTTTCCGCACTCGAAAGGTTGATGATACATGGGAGGGACTTTATCTTTTCTCAAAACAGAAAAAAGACAACACCAGTCAAACAGTGGCATCGGTGTAAAGTCTGTATAATATTCCTCCCGTACAGACTGCTCAAAACTCAGCAGAGATAGATGAGTGCGGCAGACAGAGGAAGACTTTGTCAACATAGAGTCATAAGGTGTGTTTTATATTAAGGGCCAATGCATGTCAAGCTGTCTATTGTATGTTTTTAAATGCATGGTTGCGGAGGCAAAGAACCTGCCAATGCACAGCAACGTGCTTTTAAAAATGCATAATGCGCGGCTTGGAATGCATTAACCCGCTTCTGCCGCAGTTATGACGTCTGCCTTACACAGCTGTTCCTAAAGACATTATTTTCACTTTTACATTTATTCCCCCAATGACCAAACATTTCTGTTTAGTTTCCGTTAAATTTAAATTGTGCTATATGTCTGGAATTTTAAGTGATGTTAGTTAATTAAAAATTATAATAGAGCAATGATTTTACTACTGTGATCTGCCTGGCTGGCAATATGTGTGAGGTAACAGAAAATTTATAAACACCCTTCTGACCAATCAGATTTGAGAATTCATCAGTACTGTAGTACAACAGGGTTTAATGCTTCAATGTAGCTTTAATATAATTAAAGAAATATGGACTATATTTACCACAAATGCATTCTGGTTTGTTTTTCCAGATCATTTCCTGTTGACCGTTGTGAAATCTTTCCTCAGGATTCTCCGTAATTAACAAAACCTCACGCCGTTTCCGAGAGCACGGCACTGAACAAATTTGACAAAGCCACAAACACGAATGCCCTCCGTCGTCTCTTTCTCCCACAGCTGTCACTCTTTCCACCCTCCTTTCATTTGGCCAAACAAAGCAGTAATGTTGGAAAGGAACAGAGCAAGAGCCGGCAGTTACCCAATCTCAGATATAACCCCATCGCTTCCAATTGGCTACCACCCTGCCCTTGACAAGCACTGACAGTTGTGCTGCTGCGGCAACTTCCAATTGGAGGTGTTAAGGGTTAGCCAGGGGGATAGGGAGCACGTGAGGAGGGGAAGGGTGGGGATAAGGGACAAACAACTGTCCCAATAACATCTCTCACTGCTCTTTTACATTCCTCCCTCACTTCTTCTCAAGCTAAAACGCTGACTAGCAAAGGGGTTAATGGGTAATGCTGGCAGGTGTGTTTATGGGTGGAGGGATCGGGGAGGGGGGTGAGGGATCCCCGGGGGGGAAACGAGGGGGCGAAAAGGATGAACACAGACAGAATCCCCCGCGGGACAAAGTCAACATCTGGCCAGAAAGTCTACTGTGCTCGAAAGTGCCATTCATAGAGCAATCTGAACACAAAGAAAGCAGACGCGATATCCTGAATCAACAGGAATGTGTATTATTGCATTTCTGTTTGGGAGGGGCAAGAGAGAAAGAGGACATTCCATTCCCTGTCCCTTTCCGTGCCATCATGCCACAGGGATGGCAGCTCCAGGCCTGGCCGTGGAAAACGAGCACTCCCATTGGCCAGGTCTGACTGCTGGGCGGTCAGGCTAATCAGTGGATCCGATATGCTCTGCCATTAGTTCATTCATTACGGGACGAGAATGTGTCATGTGGTGTTTGGGGGGATGATTCTTAATCATGTCTCAAGTAAACTGGGCTTCATGCATCCTGAGTTATTCTGTTTGCTATTTGCACTAGTGCATGCACATTTGAAAGCTTTTCACATATCCCATCATGCTCTCCTTTGAGACACACACACAGTTGAGTGAAGCTTGGGGTCCAAGTGCTGAATCAGCCACTGTGCTTTGGGGTGGCTGATTAAGGGCCTTGTTAAAGGGCCCAAAAGACATGTAACTATGCAGCCGAGGGATTCAAACCAAAAACCCTCTGATTACCGACACAGTGGCCTAACCTACTGAGCCACATACCACACTATGACGTGTGTATGTGTGTGTGTGTATGTAATATATAAATATGCACGTAAAATTTTCTTGAATAAACTCAATTTGAAAGAAACAGGTGCTGTCTTGACCCACAGAGTGTAAGGCCTGAATCGGCATGCCCCCCATCCCCCGTGGACACAGGCTCTTTGTTATCACCCCACCTAGATCTTATTATCTCCAAATGCCCACCCCCCCCAGAAATCGATGGTGATGACCCCACATTCTCTAAAAGCGCTGCTCTCTCGGAGGGACTCCCTCTCGTTCGGGGATTCCCTGTGGCACACATGGCCCAGGAGACCCAGCTGCTGCTGCTAGTTCTGCCCGCATGCTTCACCTGGGGCAGCGATACGGAGCAGCAGGCCATGTGCCAGAATGGATGCAGCCTGCATATACTAACCAGACACACACACACACACACATGTCGGGTAAACATATCTTTATGGGGACCGCTCATTCAGTTCTATGGGGAAAATGCTAACGCTAACTATAACAACCTCAACCCCTACTCAGCCCTATCCATAACCATAAGTAACCAAGCAAAATACAAGAGTTTTTGCATTTTAGTTTTTTCATCGCAGTCACAGATTTTTATTAAGTTGAGTTTAAAAATGGGTATTCATCACATTGTGGGGACATCGTGTCCCCATAAGGTAAGGTATACCCACTCGCACACACACACACACACACACACACCCACACACACACACACACACACACACATAGACAGTACATGCACCCCCATGTTTGATGTATTGCCTTATTTAACTATTTTCTCGCCTTATCTCCTTCTTATTATTTTCTCACATCCTCTCCTTATCGAACATTTTTTTCCTTAAAATACCCCCCCACACACACAGACACACACATTCAAATGCACATTGCATGGGGTGGGGTGGGGGGTAGGCCTGTTTACACGGCAACTCCACAAAAGCCGCGGGACCCTCAAACAACGTTTAGCTTTATCAAGCAGCAACTAATAAAGCACATCCCCCTTTGTGATGTCAATCGCTGAAGTGTTCTGTACAAGAAAGAGGAAGAATAGACTGATGGGGGGAAAGGTTGGGGGCGGGGGATTGGCGGCTGGCAAGGGGGAGGTGGTGGTGGGGGGTGCAGAGGCTGTGTGGGGGTGGGGGGGTCTGGAACTGGCATGTGTAATTCAGCGAAGCCTTTTCATCTTGGAATAAGATACTCCAGACAGATAATGCCTAATCCTTCCCCCGATCAAAAAAAATCTGCATTTTACCAATTAAAACGCCCGCCAGAAGCAAAGGGGGGGTGAGGGGGGGCAATTCTAGACTTTGCCCAAGTTTATCTCCCTACAACATGAGGGAGGGATACAGTCATAGCTTTGTTTCATATTTTTCTGGTAGCGGGGGGGGTTACCATTTTATCTCCCTCCAGGAGTGGGGGGGGGGGTATTGCGTAGTGTAGCCTTAGCAGGTCGCACCGGAATGGCGTGGGGGCATTACACGGTAGCAATGGCCGCCCATGGAGATGCCCAACTCAATATGGTGCTCATATCTATCACCCACCCTGAGACAGTCACGGTAAAGAAAATGACAAAAAACAGAAGTGGCAGGGCCAGAGGGGGAAGCAAAGCGGATATAAAAAAAAATTAAATAAACGAACAAACGAACAAAAAAAAAAAAACTGACAGGCGCCCCCTTTTTGCCAACTGGGTAGAAAAGATAAGTGAGTTAAATTGTGAAGATATGATTCTTATCTTATCGGCCGAACCAAAAGCATTAAATATGAACGATAAAGGAACACTTCTCAGTGTCGGGGAAAGGCCTGCCTTTGACACTGAAAAAGAACCTTCTAGAAGCACGGCAGGATCCGGGTTCAAACGGGCTGTTCATGGAGACCCCTCATTTTAGCCTTCCTTTCATAAACACTTTGATTGGCGATTACTTCAAGACCAAAGAAATCAGTTAAAATTCATTTTCAATGAGGAGCGCTTGTTTTATTTTTGTATATATATTGTACTTTCTATAATTAAATGTATTTATTTCTATTCAATTCTGTTCCATAAATACAGAATTATAGCACGATATTCATTTTCAGGCATAAACGTTTAATCTCTGATCTGCTGTGTACATGTTTTTTTTTCTCCTCTCACCAATGGTCCAGTTTGAAACGAGCAGAAGAGGGTGATACATTTGTTTAAACATTTAATATATGGAAATTTGCCCCCACACTGAATATCTTTGAAGAGAACCACTGTGGTCCCAATACGGCATTTATCCTATTACCGGGGACCACAGAGATAAGACCATTTTCACTCCGCACGGGCAAATTAGAGAGGAGGGCCTCTGTGGGTGAATATTTTTATAAGCATGTCAACCATATCAGCGTGAGGATATAAAGAGGAAAAATAAAACAGTGACAAAAAGAATATATACATATAGACTGAGAGGGGCACAGCAGGGCCGTGGATTCCCCGGCAGATTCAGGGGGCCCTGCACTTTACATGTGATCCGGAATTTGTAGAATTATAAAATTATATAATGGGGGGGTAACAATAGCCACCTGGTCGGACACGGAAGCCTGACCCCCAGCAGGGGCTCACTTTCCCCTTCCCATCGCCCCACCCCCCCTTGCTCATTTTGGGGTTGCCTGGGTGGGTTGGGGGCGGGCAGTGAGGCCCCCCCGGCGGAAACAAGGGCAAGAAGTTGTCAAGATTTCCCAACCTTTCAGCGAAGCCCTTCAAAATGCGGACGGCAGCCTATTCCACAGCGGGGATATCAATTATAGATAGGGGGAGAGGCGGCCGCCAGCGGATAGGGGTGTCAGGCGGCAGATAGACAGCCGTGGAGAGCCTGGGATCTTTCCATCAGATGTGTGGGAATGGGGTGGGCGTGGGGGGGTGTGCTGATGGGATAGACGCAGTTAAAAGGAAGGGCCGGGGATCGCTTAAATGCATTCCCAGAAGTCGCAGTCAGGAAGTCTTCACCAACCGGGCAACCCTTTTATGGACCGTCCTGCCATAATATGTATAAGATCTCATCCACACAAACATCTCTGGGTTCAAAAACCTGCAGGCCGCTTGGCCCCGATCCTGAATCATTGAGGGAATATCAATTATATCTAAAACTTAAGAATAGAAGTGTTGGGCGTCTGCACAAGTTTCAAAATGATCAAATAAATGTGAAAGTCTTACACGGAAAAATCAGTGATAAACCCAAGATTGCCGCTTTCTCCGTAAGGGCCGAAAACTCACTGGATTTACGGACATCGGATTTACTGGATGGCGATAACATTGGATTCCAGAAGCGTTGCTTGACAGCAAATAATCAGTAAGCTACAATGCCCCGATGCATGCATAATGAGCCAGAAACCAGCAGCCATCAAAAACTGGCCAGTAATGGTTAGATGGAAATGAGGACAAGTGATTTTCCTTTTCATTAGAGGCCCAATTTTTCTAATTCTATGAAAATTCCTCAGCGTTGAACATCAAGTTGAGATATAACTTTTTTGATGCTGAGTTAGTGTTTCTTTTTAAGTTTTACTTTACTTTTATTAGCTAGTAAAGAAATGTTGACTAGTAGCCCTATGCTGAGCTCGAAGATTGAAGGCCATATCCAAGTTTCTTCCAACCTTGTTCTGTCTAAGAGTCCAGTCCCACTGTAACAGTCGAACGAAACAGATTACAGGCCTCTGATCAGCTGAAGCATGGTGTGCATATCAACATTGGCAGAGCTTTTACATTTACTATCTAAACTTTGCTGAACACCTCATCAACTGCCCATAACATAACAGGACTAAAGATGGCTGACTATGGAGAGCATATAGGTGAGGAATATCATAAACTTCCATGAGGTGCTGACCCACCAGCTAACTCTGCAGCTAAATGCAATGTCATGTTACATACTTCAACGTAACGTAAGAATTTTAATGTCATAGCAATACTTCACACACCATCACACTAAATGGGTAAGAAATACCGGCACGTTTCCAGAAGTCACCATTAGTCATATGGTAACTGGAGGTTTGTTGAAATGAATATAATACATGTTCAGAACTACATGTCCTGCAAAATGCATGAATGTGTGTCCCATTAGGTGAAACAAAAATTCCAAGTTGTTCATGCTGAGAATTACACCGCACGCCCTATGCTGAGGACACGTGAGTGTGAATTCCCCGTTAGCAGAGGTAGCCCTTCTGGCTAAAGCGCTTCACCCTCACCTGGTAGACGAGGACGTAAGATGATCCTACAGAGGGGCGGAAGGGCAAAGCACAGGGTCAGCCTGGTCAGGCGTGACAGCTTGGGTCAGCCACCGGGGGGGAACCTGGCGGGAAGGCGGTCGGGGTGGGGGGGGGGGGGGTCGCTGATACCCGGGAGCCTGGCTGCTTTGCTAGCGGCTTCCGACAAAGGAAATTACAGTCCTCTCAGCATGGGGGGAGGGGGGGACCGCCGGAGAACTGAGCAGCGACTCCATAGATTAACTCGTACGCTGTGCCCCAGCGGCCCAAGGAGAAAGCTCTCCGGATCGAGAAGAATCAGAGCCTTCAGATGAACCCCCTCAGCAACAAGCGTTAGTGGCTGAATAAGAGATTATTTCACTCCCTTTTATCACTCGTCAAACCTCTCGGAAAACTCTTTCCTAGTTTTTCAGCTTTGGTCCTGTGTTCACCTTTTGGATAATTCCTATTCTGCCCATGAATCCAAAAAAAAAGCATTAAATAAAGGTGCATAATAAATATTGCAATGGATACATTCAATATACATCCCGACAAAGGCGTTGTGCTGTGCCATGACAACAGACACAACAGTGCTGGATTGAAGATTGTAGGTTTAGTCAACTTAAACAAGTCAATCCATCCATCCATTTTCTGTATCTGCTTGTCATGTAACCACTTTTACATTTAAAACATAAACTAATATAAAAACATCTTTTGAAGACTAGATAGCTGCAGATGATAACGTTTCATTGTGTTAAATATCCATCAATTTGTAGATGTGTCCAATCAGCAACTCAAGATTATTAGAACGGTTGATAATTATGTTTGAATATCCAACAATCTATCCATTCATCAATTTATTGTCCTTACCATTTGACCAGAGCTTTGTCACACACTTAACGTCCTTCTTGAGATGAGGTGTGACAGAAACTCAATGAATACCAACATGTTCTAAGAGTTCTGAGTTTGTAGCCCAACATGAAACATGACTCACATGCCACGAAAGCACTATGATCTCATGAAGTTTCTGGGCTAAACTGAAGACAGATACGTCATCTACATGTATCTGCATGTGAAGGGCGTTGACTGCCTCTGACGGTGTCGTTCCCTGTACAGCATCACCACAATGTATGGGCGGTCCTCACTTTGGGCGCAATGCCAACGTCCTCACCTCTTATCAGACCAACAAATCAGAACACCGGAGGAAAACTTATACTCTCCATTGACTATTTTAAAAAAGAAATTGTAAGGATCAGGAATAAATTCCATTTGAGGTGATTCTCTTGTGAATGTATGTGTTCAGGAACTTTGACACGCACTTCCATGCATGACCAAGCATGTTTTAGTGCAAATGTTAAAATAAATAAATTTTTTAAATCCTTTATTTGTCATTTGCACAAGTATGAGTACTGGTATATTGGAATTGTTATTTTTGCCAACCCCACCTTATTCTCCATAGTTTGGGGGTTGTAGCACAGGGTCAGCCAATGTGCGGCACCCCCAGAGTTGGGGGTTAATGACCTTGTTCAAGGGCCCATGGACATGTGACTGTTCTGATCACCAGTGACCTTCTGATCACGGGCACAGTGACTTAGCCCGGGTATGGGAGTGCATGTGAACAAACAACAAACAAATGGCTGTGCCCCAGAAAAAGTCTACTGAATGGGCCCCCCGTTTCTCCAGACCAAAGCTACCATTATCCATGCTCATGCACTCAAGGGCTCCCCCTAGTGTCCCCCTTTCTGCCCCCATATGGGTGGCTCATGCGTGTAGGTGCACTCAGGTGAGCGCAGACCTGTACAAACTCACATGCACCAGCTGCTCCTGGGTGTCAAACTCCCTACAGCACCCCTCCCAGTGGCAGTTGGTCTCGTAGACCACCTCAGGCTCCTGCTTCCCCTCCTCCTTATCACCCTCCTCCTTCACCAGGGTCACTCCCTCCGTCTGCTCCTAAAACATCAAGACACAATCAAGTCAACTCAAGTGGGGTGTATTGCCAAACCATCCATATACACATATGCAGTTACATGACATAGCCTCACCCCCCCCCCACATTTGGACCATGGTACAACATACAGACAGCAAGAGATGGTGGAAGGATTTTACAGTATTTAAAGTGCAAAACACAGGCAAGTGTGAAACAGGGGGGCGGAACACTAGTGTTTATATACATAATGCGATGTTTACGTGCACGAATAAAAAGTACGACAGCAGCTGCATATAGGGCTGGAATAAATATATATATAGTAGCTAATACAGATATTAGCTAAAAATTAAGAAGCAATTGATAAATATACTACCAGTGCCAATTTGTGGGTGGGGGGGTTGGGGGGTAAGGAGGGAAGGAAGCAGGGTATTTAGTGTCTGTTACGCAGGGGTGGGGGGGGGGGTTACACAGGAGTAGAGAAAAGAGGTCCCAGGAGAAACCTCCCAGACAGGAATCCCCAGGAGTTTACGAGCTAGCTATCCGATACATTCAATCCTTAAATTAACTCCCTTATTCTTTATTTACGACTTTTACCCAAAGAATCTTTACACGTTTTCCTACAGGGGGACCTGCGCTAATGCTTCCCTCGTTAAAAATGTGAAGGGGGGATTCCTACAACCGACAAACTGTTTTTGATCATTCCCACCATCAACACACCTGAGGAACATTCCAACACGATACCGATTCAAAAAAAAAGAAAAGATACCCAGAGCTCCATTTGCCAAAAATACTAAATCGTTTTATCAACATTCCAACGTGTATGAGTCTAATCCCTTGACGGGGAGAGAAAGATGCAGTTGTTTTAAGAAAAAAAAACGGGCATGGCCTACTGGAATTAAGATGCCTTTCAGAGACCTCTGAGTCCCAGTAAACTCTGGCCTTGTGTTAAACCCGATCCGTGCCCACGAGAGGCCTAGGGATTTAAGGAATCTCCTTCCCCTTCCATCTGCTGGTTGTTCCATTATCCCAAGCGTATTTCACTGTCAACTTAAAATGTCTGGGGTGCTTGGGAAGGGGGAGGAGGCTTCCCCTCTGTTCACAGCTGTGATTCATAAAAGTCCTCCCTCGGTTGAGCGGAAAAGTGGATGTCAGCGCGGGACAGGGCTGGCTGTTCAGGGACATGTACCAGTTTACGGCTCCGTGCCGTGGCCATGGGAACATAATCCCAAACTGGGCTCTTTTATTTGAACTCACTAGGGCTGAAGCATGCAGGAACGCGTACGCATGCTGTCACATACACGCAGAGTCACGCAGCTATAATTGCAAGCTGCCAGCTGTGTGCAAGTCCAGCAGACACTCACAAATGAGGACAGTTTTTCTCAACAAGAACAAGCCCTGCATTTCCGTCGGGGAGAATACCCCTGCCCCCCCGCCCCACAGCAGGGGTCTCCCCCCGCCGAAAAGTAAGATGTTCACGGGCTGTCCCATACATTTGTTTCACATTAGCCTGGCATGCCATGTGGCTACAAAGGTCGTGGAACGCATGACTACAAGGTATTTGGGGAGGGGGGGCAGACTTGAAAATGGTGGGGAGGAGTGGGGGGGGGACAGACCCATTCAGAAGAATGCTGGCAGGCAGCTGCTCCTCCATACGGACGTGGTCACACAGACATGCTAAGTCCTTTAGCAACACCTACTGCCTGACTGCTTTTATTTCTGTGTTACTTGGTAAGTTTTAAAAAAAAACCTACTTTCAGAGACTTTGAAAACAGTGACACTCTTTAGAAGCTGTATTCTCACTGAGCAGCACAATTAAAGGGTAAATCAATAGTCTGGCAGAACATGGGACAAATGGAAACTTGTGTGTGTGTGTGTGTGTGTCTACCAAATGTCCCCCACAATGTAATAAAAACCTGTTATTTTGATCTGTGAATGCAATCAAAAAAGTAGAAATGCCAAAAGTCTTGTAGTTTTTTGGTTACTTATGGGTAAGGTTAGGGCTGGGTAGGGGTTAAGGTCATCATGTTGGGATTAGAGTTTTCCCCATAGGAATGAATGGAGAGTCTGCATAAAGATATAATTAAAAACCTGTGTGTGTGTGTGTGTGTGTGTGTATGTGCTTTGACCTCAGGAGTAACACTTAAAGTAACTGAGTGTATGTGTGTGGGGGGTGACTTCTGGGGGGCCCAGGGGGCTTCTGGGGGGCTGGGGCTGGCATCCTCACCTGCACGCTGCCCCCCCCAGGACTGGGCGGCTCCTCGTCCGGCTTGATCCTGGAGCGCTTGTGATGCATGGGGTCTCCGGTGCTGCTCACGGCCGACTCGCTGGTAGGTTTGCTCTGCGGGAGTCACACATGCCGTGTCACAATTACTGAAGTCACTGCATAGTGTAACATGACTTTCTCACGCTGTCAGACAGTGTGTCATCATTGCTGCTACATTTCACTGACATATCGCAATCAGAATCAGACTTAATTTTATTGGCCAGGTACACCTGCATGTACTAGGAATTTGTCTTGGCAATATAGGTGCATATATTCACAAACAACATAGAACATAAATTAAGAAAAATACAGTGGTACCTTGGTTTACGAGCATAATTAGTTCCGGAAACATTCTTGTAATCCAAAGCACTCGTATATCAAAGCGAATTTTCCCATTAGAAATAATGGAAACTCATGATCCGTTACACAACTCAAAAATATTCATATAAAAATTATTAATACAAAATATAAAGTAAAAATACATAAAACAAATTAACCTGCGCTTTACCTTTGAAAAGAATCGTGGATGGTGTGAGGGAGACGAGAGAGGAGAAGAGGAGGGTTATTTTGTAGGACGACTTTCACTATAATTAACGGAATCACTGCTATCTGTTGGCTCACTGGAATCTTTTTCTGTTTGTGCGACTTTAACAAGGAACCCATCCAATGACAGCCTCTTTTGCCTCCTTTTCAATTTCGCAAAAATGTGGACATTGCATTGTCGTTAAATAGATTCATAGCTCGCACTGCTACGCCCTTATTCAGGTGGTGCTTTTCTACTAAATTTTGACTATACGAGTGAGGCATGCCGACTGAGACCGAGAATGGGAGACAATTGCTCACAATTCCGCAGCATGAGAAAGTGAATAACCATTGATTCAGCTGTGATGACGTGCGCTTGGCGACAAAACAAGAAGCGCACGCATGCGCTTTCTGTTTTGAAGCCCAGCGCACATAAAAAAACAAGAAAAACAAGGAGCGCATGTGTGCCATATGATTTTTGATGATACCAGGACTTGCTCGGTTTCCAAGTCAAAATTTATTAAAAATCTTTGCTCGTCTTGCGGAACACTCGTAAACCGCGTTACTCATAATCCGAGGTTCCACTGTAATATAAGAAAGAGAAGTAATATAGTCAGTAAATCGGCATTTACAAAATGCGATGATGCGAGCAAGTCCAACTACAGTTTAAATACTGCATAATCACTGTTATATTGTAGGAAAAAAATCCCAATAGCTGGATGTACAAACAAGACCTACCAAAATTCAGACATTCCTGAACACTGAGATCATTAAGGTGAAAATAGTTTTGATTCAATTTAATGGAATCAATTGCAGGTTAAATATGAGATTTAGATAATTATATTAAACATTGTTGCACCGCAAAGAACATATGATTAGTTGAAAGTGGCAGCCAAAATTTATACCACACTTTTGTCTTATAATATTTGAAAACCACTTTATACGCTGAAACTGGCCAATAGGCAGGGATTGACATAACTGGTATGCAAGTATGCATTCACCTTTAAAATCGATATGTGCAGCAATCGATTAATGTAACAGCGCAAATACGTATGTATTTTATGTGCGTCCATGCGTTTTAATCTCTATACCGCAAATGAAGTACGAATTAGCATGTAAAGGTCTAAATGCATAATAATTTCTTGTCATATCAGCGCAAATGCACATAAAATATATACGCATTACAACAATCGATTGCCGCATGTAAATCGCTTTTAAATGTGAATGCGTACTTGCGTACCAGTTATGTCAATCCCTGCCTATTGGCCAGTTTCAGCATATAAAGTGCCAATCCCTCCCAATAGGATATGAAATAGTAAAGGATCTGTGCTTGAGGTTAAAAGTTTTCAGTTTTAAGTCCCCCAAGTAGACCTAAAGAAACCCCCGTGCGGACAGCAATCGAGTGGTGAATGATGGTAGAGCCACGTTGCTATTTGACCATCTGCGGTCACATCCTGCAGTAGCTGATCTGAATATGGCGGGGGTGTCGACAGAAGCAGAATTTAATAATGCAACTCCTTTGCTCACACAATTCCTTTATTAAAACAATTTCTTTATTAACGCGACTCCTTAACTAACATGACCCCTTTTTTTAAGGTGACTTTGCTAACGTTACTCTTATTAACACAACCCTTTTGTTATCTTGACTCCTTTACTAACACCACCCCATAGCTAATGCTCCTCCTTTATCAACGTTACTCCTTTGCTAATGAGACTCCTTTACTAATACAGCTCCTTTCCTAATACAGGGGTGTCAAACTGCGGTCCTAGGGGGCCGGAGCCCTGTGTAGCTTAGTTCTTTCCCTGTTCCACCACAAATGATTCAGCTCAAGAGCTGCATGGTAATTAGCACAAGGAGTTGAATCAGGTGTGTTAAATGAGGGGAAACTCAAAAATGTGCAGGGCTCTGGCCCTCCAGGACATCTGTGTCCTAACATGACTCCTTTGCTAATGTGACTCCTTTACTAATACGACTCCTTTCCAAACATGACTCCTTTGCTAATGTGACTCCTTTACTTATAACTCCTTTCCTAACATGACTCCTTTGTTAATGTGACTTCTTTACTAATACGAGTCCTTTCCTAACATGACTCCTTTGTAAATGTGACTCCTTTACTAATATAACTCCTTTTCTAACATGACTCCTTTGCTAATGTGACTCCTTTAGCACGATTCCTTTAATATTGCGACTCCTTGGGTAGCATTACTCCTTTTCTAATGCAACTTCTGTGCTGATACAACTACTATATTATGTAGTTCCCCTAATAATGGGACTCCAAACAACAGCTGACTAAAGCAACGTTTTGACTGGTGTTTTGGCCTCAGATTTGAACCCTCTACCGCAGAGATGGAAATGCTAACTCAGCATCAGCTTCAGCAACAATAGCAGCGACTGTTAGCATGCTCGTAATTAAATGCAAACTTTACAAGGGGAGTTTTGAGAATTTAATACACCTCACGCTTAATCTGCGTAACTCTAAAAACCAATCCAAGAGCTGTAAAGACATGAACTACCCTGAACACAGCAGGATTGTTTGCTGTGAGCGCCATGCGGTTCAATCACCAGATCAATTTAGTGAAGTCTAGGAATCGAACTGAGGAACGTCAGGGGGCCTGTGGAAAAAAATTAAAAACGCTTCATTCTCCGCCCCGAGTATATTTTCATCGGAGGGCCGCTTCTTTGGGAGCGTGTGGCTCCCCTGGAACTCCCTGGCTTGCAGGGAAAACTCCCCACAGCCGGCCAAGATATCCAAGAAGAGAAAAATCCCCCAGGGAGAGTTTTGGGGCAAAAGAAAATAAATGCCTGGGAGAAGTAAAGTGATTTCTTGGCCTCTCACTGCGCTTCGCCTGCCAAACAGCAGTCAGGGAGCAGAGCATCCTCATCTCTTCCAAACATTTACTTGCGGTGCTATTTCAGTCTGGCAGCCTGAAAATGCACGCGTCCACCTCTGACGCAACTCTCAAATGGACAACGTTGTTGGAAGACCCATTCTGTCACTACGGTGACCCTAGCAGCCTCTGATCGGCAATAATTATGACCGTGGTTTAGAATTTTACACCTTTTCCATAGCCGGATATTTACTGAAGCAGTTGATAAAAGAAGTTGAGACCTGGATCGATGACAGTTTTGTTGACTAGTACCACATCCGTAACTGGCAAACTAGAAAACCAAGTAAAAAGTCCCCAGAAGCCAATGTACTGTGTGGACAAATACAAAGACCTCACACTGATAATTAAGCGGAGTCTTGCTTAAATCCATGCATGCATCTTCTAACCAATCATCTCATTATCCACACTGAGCCGGGAGCCTATCCCAGGTGGCAGATAGGGAGAGAGGGGACACCCGGGACAGGATGTCAGCCAATCACAGGGTACATACTCACACACAAAAAGGGAAACTCCAGTTTGGAAAGTGCATAAGAACAGGAAGATCATGCCAAGTCAGCATTTGAACACACAAATCTGGAACAATGCTAAACGTGCTGTTCGCTACTGTGGCATAATCCGGTAACGTTTATTCTTCGTTGTTTTCAAGGATGGCCGACAGTAACATGTGGCATGAATCCCCCACAGTCTATCTTTAAGATGAGTGTTCAGGTGTTTCAATTAATTTCTTTAATTATACTTTTATCCCCAAGAAATTGATGGACGCCCCGCATTTCACTCCCATTAAACTGAGCGTTGCTGTCTATAGCATCAGCAGCCGAAAATGGATGTTTCTTTCCGGGTTGCTGGACAGTGCCGAGCGATCGTTGCGAGAAGAAGGATCGGTGTGCAAATTTACAGCTTCGAGCATAATGTCCAGCTAGGTTACTGCACGGACAAAAAAAATTATAACAAAAATAAAGAGAAACACAGCAAAAAAAAATTATGTTTTTATGCCGTAGGACCACAAAAATCCAGAATAGAAGAGAGCGGAAACCTGGAAAAAAATAAATAAATAAGGCTCGGCCGGTTTTGCTGTAATTCAGCCGCAGCGTGTCATGAAAAATGGGTCCCGCAAACACAGTTAAATCCATCAATTCTAGACCAGATTATTTCTCATTCTTGTGATTAATGGTGTCAGAAGTGGGATTCTGTGTTAATAAGGCCTTTGTTGCTCCTTGGGGTAGTCTTTTAAGGGGAAAAAATACTAGCTGAAATGGAGTAAGGGTATTAAAAAGAGGAGATATCCGTATCTGTGTCACCGTTCTGTCTGTGTCTGTATTCGAATAGCTATTTGTCAAACTAGGACTGGGAGCTGCTCATAACCAATTTGCTGTAAAATCTATGTTACATATATTTACAGCCGTTTTTATACGGTCTGTGTCTTTGGATTTTTTTCACCTCAGGGCTGAGTTGTGACTCTGCCTGCGAGTAAGGAAACTAAAAGCACTTTGGGAGATTTTTATGATAACGAGTTCCTTTCTAATTAGCTATAATCAACAAACAAACAAACCGAGGCAAAACAGAATAATGTTTGTAGCTACATGGCTGATACTATGGCTGTACAATGAATCCCAGTGTTAATACCGACATTTGGGTGACATTAAAATTAACAGTACAAGAGAAGTAAACTTCTGAAATAGTATTTGCAGTAGCATTTTTAACTGTGTTAACACCACCAGTATTAGCTGAAGCTGATGTGGTGCTGTAGGCAAGCTTCACTGCCCTACACCCCCAACCCCCCACCCCGCCCCCTACTGTCCGGGGGGCATTTGGTGCCCCGTCACCCTGGAAATCGCCCAGATTGCCCTAGCCAGGATCTGCTACTGCATACCACTGTTGTTTTAGGGGTTGCTGTCTTTAAGTAATGGGCGAAGCAAGCGGTAAGTCACCTGTGAGGAATCTGTGGGGGCCGAATTTCTCTCCACGGACCCCAGCCCGGTGGGCACCATGCCCGGGATTGGCCGCTGGGCAGCGAAAGCAGGGGCCGGGTGGATAAGGGGGGGGCTGTGGCCAAACGCAGAGCCAACGATGGTAGGCTGGCGTCCAATCAGCTGCGGGTGCATCTGCAGCGTCATGGGCGTGGGGGGGTATGCAAAACTCAGGGCGGGGCTGCGAAGAGACCGGGGGAAACCATTAATGGAGGGGGGGGGGGGGGGGGGCAATACAGAGACAGGGGCTGAAATAAAATAATATCTAATAAAAATGTATGCTTTTAAAATGATAGATTAGTATAAGTTATAATTTCAATTTTATGACACAAACATGCAAAGAAATTGAAGTGCTACAATAAAACTAAAGTGGTACAGTCATATGCAGTCAAATAAGACATATGTTAAAAACAGAAATGGAGATTATTTAGAAATATGAATTGCTTTCATTTCCTATTATTACCTCTTCATATTATGAATATTAGAACAGTATGAAGTGCTGTAATTCAAATCCAGTGAACTATAATTTTAAACAGGGAAGAATGTATAATGAGAAATCCCGTTTTCCTCGCACAATCCTCATTGTCTCTTACGTTGTTCTTTACACACTCATCTCAGCATCCCATTTCACCACACAAAACTACAGCATTGTGGCCCTGCTTGTTTTCAATAACCTCTGTATTAATCACATGTGAATGTGAAGGAGGTTGGGAAACTTTCTCCCGGTCTCCCCTTTATTTCCGGAATCCGTACACGGTTCAGGAACACACTCCCACGAATAAGGAGAGCAAGGCGTGTATCACAGTTATTAATTACTGGTATTTTCATGCCCTGGCAGGTCGTGTAAGTTATGGATGAACACGCTGTACCTTGACGACTGGCTCCAACGACACCATAGACCACGTCAAAGCATTTATTACAATTTCCACAGCGAAAAAGAAAAAAAAAAAACAGGGAGAGACATGGAGAATATATAGATCATTCTGAATCATTCACAGTCCCTAGAGTCAGTCTCACGTCGGACGAATCTGCAATATAAGGACATTGAAAGGTAGGGAGTCCCTGGAGAACCACGTCCATCTCATTACTGCCTAAAAAACCATGTGCGTGGGGATGGACTCCATCTTTTATATATAACAGCTAATGAGAATCACAGCGGACCCTCTGTACTGCTGAAATGTTAATCTAGATAAAGACGATGCAAGTTAATTCTTGGGTGTAACTTTTCTCCATTTCGGTCTATTTCCTTTGGCCTGCCACACGTGGGAATCAGACTTAGCGATTAACCGGCAGACTCGGCAGTCAATCTGCCGTAGCGTTTGGCTCAATTGGGTTGGGGTTCCGACACCCCCCAAAGAATCAATAAGGAAACGGGGAGAGCAGGCCTCCAGTCAATGGAGGATGATCTCGATCATTTTGTGGTGTTCTTCTTCCTCAAGGTGTAGCAGCTACAAAGAGTTTCGCACAGCACCAGCAGCCCATAACCCTAAGAGGTGTGGGAGTGTCTAACTTCTGCAGTGGCTTCCTGACCCAAACCCTGGGATCATCACTGGGACATCAGGCTCCATTAATTCTCAGATCTGACGGTGGCTAAGCTGGTCCATATGTTTGGAGATCTTATTATAGCGGAGGAGTGGAAATCAATGGGATGGGGTGTTGGGGGCCCAGGCGCTTGTCATATCACTCATTTGCGGGGGCCGCATTGCGTAGCCCATCTAGCCATTGTCACCTGCAGTCCAAGCTTGTCTGGTGATTGATCAGCCGCTTTTTCAACACTTTCGATCGCAGGGCGATCACTTCTGGGTAATACTGCAGGAAGGGGGGGGGGGGGGGGGGGGGGGCGAGTGCTGCTTGTGGTAGGCTGCCATCTACCGTGACCTTCCAAAACTGGTTCACATAGATCTTCTAATATTTAAGTGTTGGGGCATTGAACAAGCAAGTCAATATTTGTCTCTGAAATCTGAGTATGTTCTGTAATTTCACACGTAAAATATGTTAAAGAACAAGTCAGGAGAAGATCCCCCTAACCCTGTGGAGTTAGTGTGAGCACCTCTAACTGTATAATTCACCCGAGTTATTAGCATCAGGAATCTACTGTGTCAATTCTGTTGTTTTGAAAAGCCATTCAATATGACCAAATAGCCACTGTTTTAATCTATCGATGTCCATAGTATTGAAAACGTCAGCAGTGTAAGCCACCAGGAGACAATTCTAATCCAAAAGAGCCAGGGTATCTACACATGGTATTCAAACGTTTGTTAACAAGACTAAGTTATCTGTGGTAAAAAGTAAATAAAGTCAAGTATCTCTTATGATATTGGCTCCCATTCTTATGGATTATGCCAAATTTAAACCGATTTATTGTTTATCGTTCTGACGAGCACATTCTAGATTAAGGACATGAAACCTTTATGTACTAATCTACTCTGAAAGTGATGCACATACTGTAACACTGTCAGGTGTATAAAATGACAATGGCTAAGGCTGATAGAAAGGAAAACTAGCCGCTGCCATGACTGTCCCTTTACGCCAGAGAGAGTAAACAGCTCTTAAACCAAATGACTAGATAAATCTGTCATCATGTATTGTGTAGTTGAAGCATATAAAATGGTTTATGTGCTAGCTATGCAAAAATGACTAGGTCAAATATGAAACTATTGTAAACTGAGGGTTCTGTTAGTTAAAATAATCATAACAATTGTTATATAAAATTAGCTATATGCTAGTTCTCAACTCTGAGCTGACCTACCAAGCTCTCCCCTGGATAAAGTACATGGAAACCCTGGGATATTTCGAAATATTACACAACTGTTGAAGCTATTAAAATGTCCTTCATAGCGTCTCCACGATAGCAGCCAGCTCTCGCTCTTTTGGGGAGAAAGGTCGCCAGCCTTGGCAGAGCACATCTGAGCCCATGGTGTGGGAATAATGAACCCCTTTTGTGCTTGGTGTAAAGGTGCTGCCCCTAAATCAGTCACAAAGGACCCAGGCAGCGACAGGCTGAACCGAAGGGGTGACCATTCGTCATACTCCCTCCCTGGCGAAGGAAGCCTGAGATGGACGTGCTATCAGCGCCTCCCTCTGTACGACGCTGGAACAGGTCACCCATGTGTTACCGGTCCAGTGCTTTTGGTTCCATTAACTTTTCTTGGACGCCTGACATATGTCTTGCACGGGCTTTGAGTAACTGTTGGGTCTGACTCCCAAAACATTTCAATGTGCATAGTCATGTACATATTCCTCACCGCCATTTCCAAGACCACAAGATTTCCGGCCAGGCATCGGAAACTGCTGGTGCTCAGATTGGTTTCAAAGCCAAGATTTTCAGCCAGTAGCTGTTCAACACGTCCATATTCCATCCAGCCAGCTTCCATAAGTTATACAGTCCCAAACAAGGGCTACTCTGTCTGGAATGATTATTGAAATCTCCAGTGCATTTAGTTTGTCATCTTAGTGTGTCTGGGAATTCTCACCCTATCTGACCTGTTGCACACCTTCTCCCACAGATTAGGTAAAGGCTGCTCTTTTATTTTAATGAAGACTGTTTGTGGACCTGGAAGAATCATGGAAACAACAGAGCAAGTTCTCTCCTTGTTGTTCCTATGATTCCTCCCACACCCTGAAGCCATGCAGTTAAGCCAACTGCTGTCTCTAAACTGCCCTCAGTTTGTCTCCAGTGATGGACTGGCAGTGTCCACTGCCTCGTGCCTTGTGCTGCCAAGATCCAGGTTGTTGAAGACTACTGAAGGTATGTAGTAGCACTAAATGCTGAAATCAATGTCAGGCTATCCCAGAATCTATGGCAGGAGCTGAAAGCTCAAATCTTTATCTCTGCATCTTTGGTCACAGGCTGGCTGTACAATTATTAAAATCCTAAGCTGTGTGTTTAATCCTTTGCAAAAGTAGTTTAATGTCCAGTTGCCCACAGCATATGCAACTCAACCCAAAGCTTGACAATGATTCATCTGCTTCCGGGCAACAGAGATTTGCCAGAGATGTGGTGCTCCAGGTCTCATCCCCGACCACGGATTGGGCTCCCTTTTCATCTGTCACATTATCAGCCGCCCCCCCCTTCCCCCGCCCCACACACAGACACACACGCACACACACTCACCCTCGCGCCCAAAATGCCCCCGTCCCACATGAAATATCACGCCAGTGTCCAGTTAAGGTAAGTTCTCCACGCTTGATGGAGAGGACATTAATCAGAAGATGCATATCAGAGTGGGGGGGGGGGGATTTGTTCACATGCTTCCTACCTAATAGAGGATTTCATGTTCACTGAGAGACCTTCCATTTATTGTTCAACAGGCCGTTCATTCATCATCGCGCTCTCAATGAGTCC